CAACATATCTATGGATACCGACCTATCCATAATCCGTTTGACGGTAAAGCTGTTTCTGTCCTTTTAGATTCCTTTAAAAAAGATAGGCGTTAATGGAAAAAGGACAATTTAGGTAAGTGTTGAAAAACCTTTTAATATTAAATGTGTGTTAGTGGAAAAAGGACAATTTAGGTAAGTGTTGAAAAACCTTTTCTATAATATCTGTAAATGATATGTTGGGTAACACCACCGTAGTGTCATTAAATAAAGGTAAAACCACTTATAATTTTCCTATACTTAAATGTGTTTTTCTTTATTATTATCATAGAATAATTCTTTTTGGATAATATGATAGTTACGATAGACGAGCTTACAATAGACGTTACTCTATCGTAAGCTCGTCTGTCGTAAGCTCAGTCAGCTGAGAAAAACGATTTACGTTTATATACCGAAGGCCGATGTTATAGGTCAACGTTTTTTTCAATGTTACCCGCGAGTCTCTTGCTACCAATCGAAAGGTCCTAATGAGAGGAATATTTTAGTTGAAAACGGCAAAAAACAGAAGCGGAAACCTATGACGTAGACCGAAAACACGTTTTCGAAGCAAGAGAATACATCCGCCGGAGTCGATGACAGGCATCTAATGTTGAAAATGGCTAACTGAAGTTAAACGTATGTATTGTCTCTAATGATGTGTGTCCGTCTGTCTTAATATAGGGTCCGTTTTAACGCCGGGTCGGAGTCAGAATTTGACGTTAGCCGATTGTCGGCTTGGCTATGAATGTCGCTGAAAATATAGATTCAAACGGATCCGCAATGAAACTTATTGGGTTTCCGGAGGAACTGCTGTTCCACACGTTCTTTTTAAGATATGGCTTTAATCGTATTTGACGGATAGGAGATAGCGGATATTCAAGGTTCGTGTTTACCGGATCTTTATAGACAATGATACGTACACTTGATTCAGACTCACCTGTATTTGTCCTGGACTTTTTGTTTAATATCGTGAAGATTTTCCGAGGTAATTTCCCGCTCAAGGTATTCACTAAGCGTTTCCGTCGCGCTCTCGAGATCCCGTTGGTTGTCCTCGAAAATGGCGCTTTGATTGTTCCTCGACAAGTAATAGGCAAACACGTACGTATACATGAGCGTTTGCCGACACTGACAGAGTACATCGACAGCTTTCTTCAGAAACTGAACTTCAATCCACGACATGTTGTGTTGTTGCATCTCCTCCATTTTTAGCTTGATTGCCGCGTACAAATTGTTCTCAAATTTCAGGGACTGCATGTGGTTTAAATAGCGGTTACAGTAGAACAAATAGCGTTGTAGAGCTCCCCGCGATTTTTCCTGAGCGTCACGTGCCTTCTTCGCCTCAACCTCGTCGAATCTATTGCAGTTATACCACGACGTGCCATGCGGCTCCCAGGGACCTAGACACACCCAGCAGAAGTCCATTTTGCAGTTTTGGTTCTTACACACCATATGATTGCAGCCGCCATCCTGGAAATACAGCAGAGTTGGTTAGCAAATGCGTACGATATTTTAATACCAATGTCAATAATATGTGCTTCTCGAGGTATACAAGGCGACAGTGGCGCGGATTACCTTTTCAATTGTAACGTAGCACTTTGGGCATTCCTTCGTATTTGCAGCAATCCAATTTGACGTTTCGGAATCATCGTCGCACTAAAGTCGGAACAAACAAATGTCAATTTGATTACCTTAGCTCGTGCACTTCTATCGTAGCCATGCTCACCTTGCTTTGACACGATTCCGTGCCGAACAGCTTTTCCAAGGATGGCCGCCACTTACCTTCTTTTGCCATTTTTTTATTAGGCCACAGCGAACGGGATCGTGCCAATTTTCGCCGCATGCAAAACAAAACGTGTGTCCGCAGTTACAGGTAACGGCGCGAGCCTCCACGTAGCTCACCTATATGACCATGAAAACTGCTGTAATTAAATCACGATACAAGGACAAGGGTAGATTTCCAAAAACACGAAGACGACGAAAGTATTGCAAATAATTATAAAAATATTAATGTAATAATAACGGTTGACGATCACAATGGAGCTTTTCGGTTGCAAGCTGTGCGGAGTAGTACCTTTTTTAGATATTTTATCACAGATATATTGCCAAGCTCTATGCAACCTTTTGCGTAACAAAATGAGATCAGTCATCGTTCCTACCTTAATGGCATTCGTGCACTCAGGTTTTGGACACCACCGTAGAAGTCTGTTGCACTGGACAAAGCTGTTTGTAATTAAGTGCTGATATTTGAGCTTCACCTGTGGAATCAGCGAGCAGGAACGAAAAGTAATTCCTAGATTAACATGTACTATTATGTGGCTGACAGGGTACTTCGAACTTACTTGACAACTGCAAAAATCTTCACAGGCTTTTGCAGTCGTCTCCTATCGTTGGACTTAATAATTACCGTGCAATTTGCGGGCATATATTCATTAAAAATACCAGCCCCCAATAGAAGACAAAATTTAATTAGAAATCGTCAAGGACAGTCGTGAAAACCAAATAACCTGTTACCCTCTTTTTCTTTGTACCTCAAAAAATGTTTCCATAGAGCTTCAGTTCTACCTATAATAATGTTATTAACAAGCGTGCCGCCGGCTTCCGAAACTAATATCAGAGTTTTGGAAAGCTTAGGCATTTTGCATGTACATACCTTCTGATCGGTTATGAGCCGCATTACGGTTTGATCATCTACCAAAATATCGCAGCCGTGCGCTGCACACGAGATCGTCTGCCCGATTCCTTCTTCCATAATTTTCGTTGTAAGATAGTAATTCCAACAATCGGTGCAGAACCGGTGGTCACATGCTAACGCTGCCATCGAACTGCATGGTACGCGCTTCAAGCAGATTTCGCATTCCTCCATTGCTGCTGAAGGCTGCTTCTGAAATTTGACATAAAAAGACAGTTTACAGTTAAACAATCTGCAGCCATACAGGCCTGTAGTAAGTTTATCTTCCACGATTCCATCAATGGCGATATATAAGCATCGTTGCCAAATTAAGTAGCATGAATTCTTGAAAAATGAAGATCTAACCGCATATTTGTAGTGTAGGGAGAAAATACCTGAATAAATCACTGCTGGCAGTACTTTGAAACTTAGAAGCATTGGATGATATGGAAACAAAAGTTTGCATAACTACAATTACCTTATCGGCCAAAGCCGAGCCTTTAAAAGGGTAGACGATGTGAGCCTGCTGAAACAGCGTTTCTTGATCGCCATCGTAGTATTTCTCGTAAAGTTTTTCCAAATCCCATTTAAAGTGGTTGAGCAGAATTCGTGTCATTGTTGGAGGAATCTGCTGAAATGACGATTATTAAACGATTCGAAAATTATCAAAACAAACATCAGGAAAATAAACATTAGGAAAGAAATTAATACTAACTCACTATAGCGTTTTTCTCAAAATAAGCCAGAAAAAAGTTTTCAAACTCGAAACGGTATGTAAAGCTCGTATGATACGATCCTGCTCTGGGTTACCTCTACGATGGTGTTGACCTCCTTTATCGTATCCA